CACCCTTTCAGCCGTGAGGGCGTTATAATGTGACGATCAATTCCACTATTCATTGGTAAAAGAGTAGCCCAAGAGTTGGCGGTGGGTGGTGATGACTAGCTGCCTTCCCTCTAGTCTTACACTGCTAAATTAGGGACGGATAGTGCAGATAGTCCTCGTGTAGCTTTGCGTGAAATTCAAAAACTAACTAACTAACTGTTAATAAAGTTTCTTTTAGTTTCTCAAATGTTTCATGTCTTTTGTCTGTCCACTGAAATTTTATTTCTTCCTTAGTTAATTCAGTTAAAGATTTTGCCAATAATGCAAAATGTGGTATAAATCTTCTATAAAAGTCAACAAATCCAAAAAATGCATGAACATCTTTCACTGTTTTAAGCTCTGGATAATTCTTACAAACATCTAACTTTTTAGGGTTAGGTTTTACACCATCTGCGGTCACCAAATGACCTAGATATTCTACTTCTTTTTTCAGAAACTGACATTTACGTGGTTTAAGCTTTAAATTTACTGTCCGTAATCTATCAAGTACAAGCCTTAATCTCTCCAAATGTTCTTCAAAATTTGCAGCGAACACAATAACATCATCAAAATAACAGAAACGTTCTAAATCTTGCAAGCCTGATAATACAACATTCATTAATCTCTGGAATGTTGAAGGGGCATTTCATAAGCCAAAAAGCATTTTATTAAACTGATATTTACCTGAAGGTAATACAAAAGCAGTTTTAGCTTTATCTTCCTCTTCTATCTCTACCTGCCAATATCCACCTTGTAAATCCATAGATGAAAAGTATTTACTCTTACCTAACCTATCTAAGGTTACTTGGATATTAGGTAATGGGTAAATGTCTTTGACAATTACTACATTCTCTCTCTCTGAAAATCCACACAGAACCTTAATTTTCCGTCCTTTTTAGGAACTAATACAACCGGAGATGCATACGGACTACTACTGTCCTCAATTACTCCTTGTTCAAGCATCTTTTTCACATTGTTTTAGCTCAACCCTGTGTTTTTCTGGCACTCTATAGGGTCTTTCTGCTATAGGCTTATTATCACCCAACACTATATTGTGTTTAACTTTATTTGTACATCCATTAGGGTCATATTTTCTTACAAATATATCTCTATACTCTTCTAACAATATTATCAAACCCTGTCTATGTTTCTTGCCTATATTTCCTATAGATAGAATCCCAATCTATCCTACTTTGTTGTACCCGTTTTTTAGCATTATTAACATTATGCTGTCCTACTACAGCAAATTGTTCTGTACTACTGGCCTTACCTACTACTATGTTCTTAGGTAGTTTTACTTTTTCTTCATTCACATTTTGTACTTTTATAGGTACTGTGTCTCTTTCGGACACTTTACTAATACAAGCAACTACATAAACTCCTGTTTCTTCTACCTCAATAGGTTCGACTAACACTTCTTCATTACACTTAAAGTCATTTACTTTAGCTTCAACAATAAATTGACTTCTTGCAGGTACTTCAGTTACTTTAACTAATATTACAGGTACTCTTTCTTTCAAACACTCCTGTTTAGATACTCTGTTGCTAATGTTAGGCATAAGTGTAGAGTTATCTGAGGGGTTTGAATTACTATTTTCCTGTTTTAAAGTCTTATTTGCTAACGTACTCTGTCTTATCTTACTATCATTCACCTTATTCTAATGACTTCTGTTGTTACTTCTGCTGGATTTAGAGTTTTTCTGTGTACTCTTATTCTCTGGCTTTTCTTTAGAACACTTCTTATTCCTCTCTGACTTTGTTTTGTATCACTACACTCTAGGAGATCAGTGCTTTCATGTTTTCACTGTTGATCCTTAGCCTTGCTAATGTTAGCGTTAGGCATCTGACTATTAACTTTAGCCAGCGGGAATGTATCGTGTCAAAACTTAAGATCTCTGTATCTATGCATACCTTACCCAAAGTAAGAGATATTTCAGTGTCATAAGCCCTTAAGAAATGTTGCCCTATGATACCATCTGTTTTTAAACCTATGTGCTTACAGATATAAAATGAGTGTTCTAACTCTAACTTTCCTATTTTTATATGTACACCATATTTACCTAGTGTTCTAACAGAATGTCCTGTTATAGAATTTAAAATACTTCTAGAAACCTTTTTCCAAGCATTATCTAACAATGTCAGGTTTTTATCTACTAGTTCTGCACTTAGTAGCAAAGATTGATTGCCTGTATCAACCAATAAGCAACATATTACACATTCTATTTCTGTTACAACTATTGCTGATACTTCATTAACACTATGGACACTCAATCTTTTATCCCAAACTTCCAGAACTACCTCTACTTTTGCTCCGTAATCTCGCGTGCGCGGGGGGGGGGGGCATTACGTATTTTGACTCTACATTGAATTTAGGGCTACTGTTATTTTTTGGAAACTTTCCTCTGTAAACTCCAGCCTTTGGGGTTTTTCTATTTTTTACCTTCTGTTGATTTCGGCAATCACAAATGCCATAATTAAAACACGCTATTTGCTCATTTCTTTTGAAAACAATTCCTTGCTCCATGCCCAACTTTGTCACAGTTGAAACACTGGAGGCCATTGGGCTTATTTTGTTTAACTTGCCAATCTATTTTGCTAGGTCTATTTACTATGTTTACAGCAGAATGTTTAGGCCTACATATTTTTTTTCTCATAGCTCTTCTCAAGTGGCTACTTCAATCAGATCAAGCAAAGTTTTTGAGGGGAATTTGCTTCATTCACATAACATCTAGCTGCATTACTGTATAACCCTCGTTCATATTCAGATTTGAAAGTATCTTGTACCATCAACTCGTTTGGGTGTGTATAAGCCCTGTGTAATCTATTTCCTAACACCTACAACTTATGTCCAAAAACTCAGACAGAATTGCCTCATTGCTGAGTTAAATTTTGCATCTCTATTAAAATTACATTTGTTGTTTCTCACTTCCTATACTCCTCTATTTACCTACATACTAGATACTGATAGTTTCATGAAGTTTGCTATAAGCCCTAATATAGCATTTTGCTTCTCCTGCTGTTCTTAATCTTATATGTCTGCCTTCAGGGCATCAGTCCAGCCCAATAATCTGGCAGCTTCATTTAAGGCATCAATAAAGCTCTCAACATCCTCATCGAGTTTACCGTGATATAACAGTATGGCATTCATTAAATGCATAGCGCCATGTGGACCTACTTGTGCAGGTTGTTCTGCCACAGCTTCATAGCTAGTGTCAGCCCTTCTATCAACTCTAGGGCTTGCACCATCCTCTTCTGTAGTCATGTCTACACCAATAGTAGCCATATTCACTTACTTACTACTTATTTTTAACTTACTCTACTTATAGTACTTCGGCTGACTTTCTTTACTCTAATCAACCTGTCATTAGCTACTCCAAAAATACTCAAGATTGCACCAGTTGTGATGGGCAGCACCCTTAGGGCTAATTGTTGAAGTTTCAATTATACTGTCGATCACACCAAATTTATCGAGTGGAGGATTGCAGTAGTGAGAGGAGCTCACAACTCACTAACTCAAGGCAATTTACATTTAGAATAAAGAAACTGAGACTAATATTTAAAACAATATATGAAATTTATTTAAGTTTCTCAACATAAAATATGTTTCTTTTATCATTAATCATTTATTGACTTTTAATTATAAGATATGTTTGGGTTAACAACACTATTACTTATATCTTGTACATAACACCAAGTTCCTTAGCTTTTATATGTTTCTTTAGAGTCCATCCAATTCACATTAATTGATTAGGAGAGAAATAGTTTCATTACTTACAACATAGTTGAGCTAGTACATCTTCACAGTTGAGGAACCTTCATAGTTGCTGGCTTATCAATGACTCTGGGGAGAATCTCGGTTCTTCCTGGAGAAAACTGATTTTTAGCTCCAGATATGAGTTTTTAAACCATATCTTCTTTGTATTCTTTTGACCTTCCAAATAGCATTCCTAACTACCCGCAAGTAGTTCTAACACTTTATTGGTCAATCTGTGCAACTTCTCTGGCTTTTCGAAAACAAGAACCAAAACTCTCAAGTAATTGGTTACTGTGATGGTGAGTGCTCTGGTTGCCTTTTCACTTATACTATTACACTGGTCTGGAGTAACAGATCTCGCATCAAAGTGCTGATTTGAGATGTTATCATAAACATTTTAGTAGCCTTTACTGTACTACTAACTCGGAGTCGATAATTTATCATTGTCAATCTTATGCCCAGTGTTTTTCTCAACATCTCTGTTGTAGCTCCATTTTTTATAACTCCTAACTTGTGATTCTCAGTACCACTTAACCAGCTAGCTGTACTTTCTAGCTCTTGACCTTATTTCATAGTACAGACGTCTTTACTTACACTATTTCTTCATGTATATGTTCACTTCAAAAAAAAACTCAGAAAATCGTTATAACTTCTTTCTTAAATTCTTTTAAAATGCTAAAAATATTGAAGCAATTGTAAAATTCCCTCAAACATATCCATTTGCTTCGCTGTCCTTATATATTATCTGTTGAAACCACAGACATGGGAATGGGCTTTGAGTTAGTTCTTGATTTGTGTGTGTGGGTAACTAGATATAGATAAATTTAGCATGAAATCTGATCCAGTTGGAATTTTGAGGAAACCTGATCTTATGTATATGAACATTTGCAGTGGTCTACAAGTAATTGGATGTATTTATATTGTATCTGTGCTAAAATTCCGTTGTAACTAGGACTAATATTTTTGTAGTCTGATTTGAAATTTTAAGACTAATTATCTAAATTATTTAAATTTTGTCTGAACTATCCGTTTGTTTCACAAATGCTTTACACTGTAATGAAGTAGGTTTATTTTCAGTACATTAAAATTAAAATTCATGATGTTTCAGATATATTTCATTCAGACTAAGTCAGAGCACACTGGATTTGTTTTGTATTAATAGATTATACATGCAATTCAAGAACATTGTTAGAAATTAATGTTTAATTTTACTTATTTCTTATTCAAGTATAAAGCCCCATCACCTGGGCAGAAATCAGGTGGTCCTCCTGCATCAAGGAAACCACCAGTAGAAGAAACCATTAAAGAAGCTCCTCTGACTTCACCACCTGCTGTCATGGGTAAAAAAATGAATGTTAAACATAAAGAGAAGCACCAATCTGAAAAAAAACCAGAGAAGTTAGTTTTTGATTTTCTTAATATTTTTTTGTTAGAAGAAACAGAAATAGCTCACAATCTTTTAAATCTTATATTAAAATATATCAATTACTTCACTTGTCACTTCTATGAAACTTTAAATTTTTAGTTATAATTTTTGATTTGAAGGAAAAGCAAGATTGACAGGTGCTACAGTATATTTAGGATTATTTATTCCTATTTACTTTTGTTTGTTTATATGATCAATAACTCATAATGTAATATTTTTAAACATTATTTGAGTATTGTTCAGTACTTTCAAATCTAAATTTTAGCCATGTCAGTATTATTTGTAGGCATTGCTATATTCTAAGAAAATTATAGCTCAGTTTAAAACTATTACAGTTCTATACTTGACTTTCTTGAAACCTTCAGTTGTTAGTTTGATTCTTAATTTGTTTTCAGCATTTATTTAAAATTTAATTTATCAGTACTGCAAAACAACAACCAAATGAAAAATTGGAAATACTTTAAGATCTTGGAAATTATCAGAGTCTACTGCAATACATCTAATGTGACTAGTATAGAGTTTATAACACACAAAATTATTTGTCAAGTAATGTACAGTGAACCATTTAGTGTTATATTTCGTTTTTTATCTGTTTAAACGTTCATTGTGTATTTTGTCTACATTCTATTTATATCTTTGCATGTATTATTATCTCAGTGTGTAAAGTTTTGCTATTTTTTATTAAAACATTCCTTGTATTTAACTTGTACTTTGCTGGATTCTATATGCTTTTCTTCTGTTATTTACACACCATAACTTTTTTATAAACATAATGGTTAGTTTATCTCATTCACAGAATTTTAATTGTGTATTGTACCAAAATAGGTTTTTGGTTGAAGTAAAATTAAAAAAATTATTCTTGGTTGCAAGATCATCTGTTAATTGTTTTTGACATTGAGTCCATTAAAGTACATATATATGTAAGGAGCAGTTGTGCACTTGTTAGATATGTCATATATCATGCATGCCCTTATATAGGTAGCTTGCATTTAAAAAATAAATAAATTGGAATTTACAACATGATATTATGTAACATAATATTTTATTGAAATATTTTGATAGAACACCACTATTTGTTATGCATGCACCTACATAAAAGTGTTTGTTGTAAAAATATCTGGTTTCAAAATTATTGACATATCAGAAACAACATTTATGAAGTGCATAGTAAGTGTCAAAACTCATCAGTAGTTTCATGCAAGTCTGTCACTATACATTTGGTGCAAGTACAGCATTGAATTTTAACTGGAAATCACTACTACTGACATTAATTTCTAGATTATACATATATTTATTTACTTTAACAATTTATTCCATTTTTTGTGGCAGTTAATTCCAAATGAATATGAAAAAAATTTGGTCTCCATAATTTTCTAGGAAATTAACATAATTATATTTTATGTGAAAATGGCATAATCCTATCCATTTCTTTGTAATAACCATCAGTGTGGATTTTGGAATGAAATATATATTTGTTTATAAAAAAAATCGTTTTAAACATTTTTTATATAGAGACCCAAGAAAAGGAACAAATATAAAGGATGACAAGCCTCCACAAGTTATGAAGTTCAAGGAAAAGTTTCCAAATCGAGCAACCATAAAGTAAGCTAAATATTATTTATTTTGTATAACACATTAAGAAAAATATAGATTGGCATTATACAAATTATTTTTCATGATATATATTTATAAACCTGTGTGAATTCTTTTTTGAGTCAAGCATATTTGCTGTTATATAAAAGTTTATGATAAAACATGTATTATGTCATTAAAAAAGAGAAATACAGTTGTATATTAATACAGCTAAATATCAATTATAGATTAACAATTTGAGTCAAAAGATAAAATCAAATTTGATTATTACTTTTTACATTCTCAAACAGATATGATGTGTTTCTAAAAAACTAACTGCATCTTATAAATAAATGTTAAACAACATTAATGTGCTTAGGTACTTTGCTTCTTGGTCAGTCTGAAATATTTTAATAGAGAGGGGGGAAATAGACATAATACTGAGAAAAAGTCTTCAATAAAGTCATTATGGAATCACCAACTGTTATATACGTAATCATCAGGTACTAGAGAAAGAGGACATTGATAAAAGTTTGCAAGCTGTTCAGTTATTTTTATTATTTGAATATGGCTTATGCTTAGAAAACTGTAACATGTTATGCAGAAATGTATTTTTTTTTTCATTGTTAAAACATTTCTCTGAAGAGGTTATTAGTTCACAGATATGACAAAAAAAAATGTATCAAGCAAGAGTTTATTTTGGTAATACTAAGGTACAGAGATTGGTTTTTAAACATGAGAATTTCTTTTTGGGTGGCAAGATAAGGTGTTTAGTCCTTTCTGTGCTAATTGAGAGTGTAGCCAACTAACTTTGAAATTTTAGTGTATAGTGTAAATAAATGATAGTATTGCTGTTAGAATAGCCATCAAACAAAAAATTGAACAGTATATTTCACTTAATAATTCCTAAGTTTAAGAAAAACGTTTCCATCAGTAACTTTACCAAATTTGTAGTAAGCTTGCTGATCAATCTCAATTTTTCTATGTTTCTGATATATGCCCAAGATTTTATGGGAAAATCTAACTACATAGAACTTTGTCTCTTGTTTTATATGTACAATATGTCTCCTGAATTTCTTTGTATTTGCAATAATACATGTAATAACTAGGATGTTGAACTCACCATCGAAAGAATTATAGTATTTAAAATTTCCCCAAAATGTTAATCTATCAGCATAATAAAATACTATTATCTGTAGGTATACTCAGATTGCAGAGAGAGAAGATGGGTATGACCCTTATCAACAGGCAGCATTACAGTTGCAAGATTTGCATAAAACTAACCCTGTAGCAAACAGAGGGCCTCGCACAGTTCCTGGAAAACGTACTGGAGGGTTGGACACAAGTGGTTACTGGGCTACCAACAGGTACTTCTTTCTGATCCTTTTTTATTTATTTGTGACAAAGTAAAATAGAAGTCTAAAAAAGATTTGGTGTATTTTGATTAATTTCACCTTTATGGTATAATATTTTTTTTACTTTACTTATGTTCACAAAATATCTTATGCAGGCTTGGCATCTGAGTTTGAAGATGGTCTGGGTCATTAAAGTGGTAAGTTTATGGACTTACAATGCTAAAATCTAGGATTCAATTCCCTGCAGTGAACACAACAGATAGTCTAATGTGGTTTTGCCCTAAAACAAACAAGTGAATAAACTTGGCATCAAAACGTAATTAATAAATCAAATTTCTCAAACACACTTACCTCCACTCCCTATTTAGCTTTATCCTGATGAAAGGATCTCTTCTTTACCCATCTAAGCATTGGTATGAATTATACCTTGCTTGCTCCACTCTTTATATCCCACAATATAGTCCCTAGCGATTTTATTCTTGTGTCTCTCTCTCCACCTACATCAGTGTGGCCTCTTATACCCATTATTCCTTCTTATTCAATTTTCCTTAATGGCATAAATTATAATGATGGTCTTACTTGTTACTCTTCAGTGTTATTAATATATTTGCATCTTTTCTTTTGAATTATTTTTGATCTTTTTTTTGTGGGTCCTGAGCTTATTGTTTATTTTCTTGATTTTACAATAAGAAGTTTACTACATCTCCCATTTGAGTTTCCAAACCTCTTGCTTCAGCACCACAATCCATTGGAACACAAGGGTGATTTTGAACTTACCAGTGTGGATCCTGCTCCAGGGTGGAGCGCAGATTTTGGCATTGTAGGTATACTCAGATTGCAGAGTGAGAAGATGGGTATGACCCTTATCAACAGGCATCATTACAGTTGCAAGATTTGCATAAAACTAACCCTGTTGCAAACAGAGGGTTTCACACAATTTTCTTTCTACACTGGTTTCTCGACTGTCCCACAGTTCTTCTACAGTATGGTTTACTACATCTCCCATACGAATTTCCAGACCTCCTGCTTCAGCATCACATTTCATTGGAACACAAGGGCCATTTCGACTTTACCAGCATGGATCCTCCTCCAGGGTAAAGTGCAGGTTTTGGCATTGGTGACGACCTTATGAGGTCAGGTCCTGTGGGGTCTTGTCTAAGAGGGTTTGTGTCAGTATGGAAGACATTCACCACAGATTAGGGGGTCATTCAAATTCTCAGGAGGGGATTGATCATTCAGTTCATGTCTCCTTCTCCTCTGTCTCTTATACCAGTTGGCTTTCCACTCCCCAAGGATATACAGTTCCTTATATGCAGAGAGATAGAGTTTTATATGTGACTTGATGCTTTTTCTCCTGCTGGCTCTGAGGCTAAATTTGTGGGAGACCAAGGGCAGACTAATGAGAATTTAGACTATTTTTCCAGCACCTTTCTTTGCTCATACAGCTATTCATGAACCTCGGATGGACATTCTGCCTCCTACACCCTTTTTACAACTAGTATACTATGTTTGTAATGTTTGAGTATTTCTCTTGTGGCTTATGAATCTTTATCTTCGTTATTGGGAATAACTAGTCGTCTGATTACGTGGTCCTTCCACCTTTACCAGACATTATTGTACATGCAAGGAGATTTTCAGATCAATTGAGGGACAGTGTTGCCATGCCTTGTTGTTTATTGGATCAGCGTGCCTTGGCTTTCCATCGCCTGGAGAACCAATATTTGGACTCTCAGAGGTTAGACCCTCTGCTTCCTATTTGGGGCTCTTGACAAGATGTCATTGTTCATCTTAATTGATCTCAGTTTTCCAGAATTTGTCTGCCACAACAGTTTTGCATTTTTTATCATCTTTGTAACTGTTGTCTGAGGCCTATCATAAATTCCTTGCTCAAATTTCAGAGGATCTTATCATTTTTTTACTTCTACTTTGGTTAAGTTATCAGCTTCTGCTCTCTCCTTGTTGCTGGGATCTTTTGGAGAGAGCTGCCTTACTAGAGGGAGTTCACCTTCCTATGTCAGCCCTTAGAGATCTCAGATACAGTGTTAAAGTTTCTCCATTAGAATGTCAAAACAAATCCAGGTCTCAGTGGGCTTAATTTACAAACATTAAACAATTACAAACATTATAAAATTAGAGAACAGTCTAATATAGATAACACATCCCCTGTCATTTTCACAACACTACCTGAAAAAACGAAAGCTATGCATTATTGGGTTATATGAAACATTTGGGTTTGTTTTCTATAAGTTACGTACTTTGCTTAATAAACGAAACAACTTAAATGAATAAGAACCAGCTACCTTACACATCACACAGCTGATTGGAGACAGTAAGACACTTTCTACTCGAAGGATATTGTTCTGAACAATTAAAATAATGTTTTGTTTTAACATGTATCTATATAAATATAATCATACTGTCTGTTGTATGTCCATGTAACTACTTTGCATGGTGTGAATGGATCTTCACCAAAATTGATATAAGGGGTTCATTGGGTCCATGAGGAAATACATACAAATTTTCAGTTTTGCATTTTATATTTTCTATGGGCGTTTTTTGCTGCTACTTCTCCCCTTGTACAAATTTGGTATGGAGGTTATATGGGTCCTTGGGGAGACACAAACAAATTCTAAGTTTTGTGGGCTTTTTTACAACTATTTCACTCCCTGTTGATGGATCTTCACCAAATTTGGCATGAAGGTTTGTTGGGTCCATGGGGAGATACATAAACATTTTCTGTTTTGCATTTTGAGGTTTTTATGGGCATTTTTGCATTTTTACCACTAATTCGCCCCCTGTTGATGGATCTTCACCAAATTTGGCATGAAGGCTTGCAGAGATACATGCAAACTTGCAGTTTCACATTTTATGTTTTGCAGTTTTTGTGGGCGTTTTTTACAGTTACATGTAAAAGAAGCAACTTTTCATGTCCTTAGATAACCTTTCATTAATCACGAATTTACATAACTTCTGTCCAAGAGACGGGTGCTCCAGCTAGACTATATATGTATAATAGTACTGTCTGTTGTATGTCCATGTAACTACTTCACACGGTGTGGATGGATCTTCACTAAAATTTTCTTTCTACACTGGTTTCTCGACTGTCCCACAGTTCTCCTACAGTATGGTTTACTACATCTCCCACACGAGTTTCCAGACCTCCTGCTTTGGCATCACATTTCATTGGAACACAAAGGTCATTTTGACCTTACCAGCATGGATCCTCCTCCAGGGTGAAGTGCAGGTTTTGGCATTGGTGATGACCTTATGGGGTCAGGTCCTGTGGGTTCTCAGATCAGGGGGTCATTCAAGCTCTCAGGAGTGGATTGGTCATTCAGTTCATGTCTCCTCCTCGTCTGTCTCTCATACCAGTTGGCTTTCCACTCCCCAAGGACCCTCTTACTTCCAACAGTCAAGCACAAGCCATCCAGGATCTTCTGCAGAAAGAGGTCATAGAGCATGACCCCCTCCTCTCTCAGTTTACAGTGGAGTTATAATGCTTGGAGATGGCTTGAATGGGTAATGAAGATAAACTTTAATATAAGTTTAACATAACAGCAAATGTACAACGTTTCAACAACCTTCTGTCAGTACCTGATGATGACAGAACATTGTTGAAACATTATACATTTGCCGTTATGTTAA